AACTCAGTTGGTAACAAAATTGAAGCAAGTCAACGAACTACGCTCTCTTAACAGGATAAATTCGAGACAAGGTTACTGTCGCAAATTTTCAATGTGCGACGACTTTATTATGTTTCAAAATCGTATAATATAACTAATATTAATTTCCAGATACGTGGAAACATGACAGCATCGAGCTCTATCAAATTGTGAGTTTTATCATCATATATGTTGACATATCGAAGGAAAGTTAATTATTTTTAGCTTGATCAGTACGACATTGCAATGAAAACTCGTTTTAATAAAATCCTAAATCAGGTCTAAAGTCGAAGCACGGACCGTGAACTATTGTAGTTAATGTGAACAATATTAGCATACACCGCTTTTATATTTTCTCCCTATATTTATTTCCGTCTGCAGAATTGTTCAAGGATTTTCTTTTAATCACACGCATAACATACTATGTTCCAGGGTAAAACCAAAACGTATATATTCATGATACTATATGACTAAGGTTTTATATTTATGGAGAAAAGTATTATTTAAATATTTTAGCTGCTCAACGTAAAGCTGTGTTCTGACGATGTTACTTCTACTTTACTTTAAACTGGTTGAAACAGTGGTGGAGACACCATTTCACTTTATTTATTTATATCTCATTTAAGTTTATTTAATTCAGTATTTTGTTGTACAATAACGACCCTCGTTAATATTCAAATTCTATTACCCACAAGGTCTATTTTTTGCTTTTAACTGTACGAATGAATTTGAAATGCACGCCGACGGTACGGGTTGCCGCCTAATAAAACATGGCTGAACGTTAAGATTTATTCAAGGTGGGAGGAAAGCTGTATTTTAACTTTATTTACCGATGGTATTGTGTCGAGATTTTCAATTAATTGTTCTATTCTATTTGTTTGTATTTATCCTTACATTTAATAAAATTATGTTATCTTATGGTAAAATTAATGTTTAATAAAATAAAAGCTATTTTAATCCAATTGGAAACCAACTTGAAAACAAAACGTATTAAGCAAACTATTCCAAATAGCTATTATTGTAGCTATTAGTGGGACTAGACAAAGTGTATTACCTTCGAAACGATTCCATAATGGACTTCAAAAATGTATAGAACTGACGCGAGAAATTTACGTAACTTATCGAAAGTTATTGTCACTACTATACATTTTTGAAGTTCGTTATGGAATCGCTTCGAAGCGAATGCACTTGGTCTAGCCCCGCAGTAGCTAGCTAACAAAGGATTCAGCTGTCTATATTACGACATAAGGTTTATAAAAACGCAACATCGATTACGTCGTCTAGAAACAAATATAACAGATGTTACATGGTTGTAATATGTGCTATTTAATACAAAACAAAGGGAATCTGTGACCGCAAGTGATTGTGATATTTCAGGCTTGACGACAAGGTTATGTGAGGCGGCGGCGGCGGGAGCGAAGTGGGCCACTGCAAATTGCAATCAATAGGGAGACGAGACACACGCGCGCAAGTTCACGGTCGCTGACAATTGTCATTCATGTGAAAATGTTATATGCATTAAAACACACGTATACAAAAAACGTGTATTTTTAACTGATATCAACTAGGAAAGTTACTCATAATGTTGTACAAAATATTTTGTAAGCATTCAAACGGAACTTTGTAATTTTAACTCAATCAATTTAAATTCAAGCAATAGTCACACTTACAAAGAAGATATCTTTACACGTAGAAAGCCATAAATATTGTACTGAATGCCTAAAGCATTTTTAAAAAAAAAATTCGTTTTTCGTTGCCGCTTCAATGAATCTTCCAAAAAATTAATAGAATAATGGATTATCCGCAACCACTAGATATCAATCGACCTACTTTTTTTGTTTTTTGAAAGTAATACTCCGACTACGGAAAACTTCGAACCTTTATTGCATCATTACATGAATAAAATATGCACAGAGTTTCTATATTTACATAACAATACATACGTAATTAAAAAAAAAACAGGCATTGGAAGAGGAAAACATGTGCCGACCGCAAATAAAATAAGTACCACTATTACAATAAATTGAATTTAAAAATATCCAACCAATTTGCATTTGACTAGCGTAGTTAATCAAACTTAGGATAGACACGAGCCTCTAGGAGAGGATGTGTATGCCTTTTAAAATAAATCCATTATATAAAAAAAACAATAATAATGTCGGCAGGGACAAAGCGTCGCAATGCAGAGCGGCTCCGCGACCTACATACATCCCGCGACAATACCTCTACAGTTCACCTCGACCTCTGCACACTGGCCCTTAAATATTGCCACTCTCTTGATATTTATGCTACCACTAACCTGTAATATTTATGGAACCACACAAAGACATATGTTAAGTGAAATAAAAAAAAATATGTAAAAATAAAATGATCTACGTAAAAGTTATTTAACGAAAGAGGTTGTCATGGCCACCTACATGTAGCGAGACGCCGTGGAGCTAGAATACGCGAGCTAATAGCGATCAACTAGCAAGAGACAGCACAGGACAGGCGGCGTTGGCAATCTCTCGCGATCTCTCAAAATGGCTCTTAGCCTCCAACACAATATAGCTTAGTATAATATATATTGGGAGAGGATAGATAGAAAAAGGCAAGTATTCTTTTTTCGTGCATCTCTTTTCGGTTTAAAGTGTTACTTAAATTGAAACATGTATTTAAATTATTGTTATAATCTTTATTTGGACATATTTAAATTCACCCAAGCTAACCCAGATACGAATAGCTAGTTTATTATTAAATGTCGCGTATTTTACTCCAAGAACTATAAAAGTGGATATATTTCAATTCTGCTAGAATCAATTTATTGTCCCTGTGCGATCTTATTTTATAACTTAGGTAGATATAAAACGTTTGAAACTTAAAAGAACACGTCTGTAAATAAGTTATGAGTACTGCCAGTCGTATTTTATTTAAGTTATTCAGATGGTTCACATTATGCCAGTACCGGTACCAATACCAGTACAGTAGACCAGTGGAGCTGGCGTAGCATGGACTGTATGGGCTCTGGCTGTTTCTGGCGCAAGTTTGTGTTCACTATTTTATATAACAAAGGCACAACGTAAACACGTACAAAAATACAAAAATATATAATGAAAAATCTCTAAGGTAATACAGAGAATGAACACTTTTTCATTTTTAAAACTAAGAAGTTATTTAGAAACTAGAATTCAGTTTTAAAACAGAAAATATGAAGTTCTATAAACAATTAACTTGAACTTTCTACGTATTCTCCGCTGCGTATATAAACCAATGAGAATGTAAAGTGCTTAATATAATAATAGCTCAGTAATCTCGGGGCTTACGTTCCGTAAATGTGCTGCGAACAAAAAGCTTTGGTTGTAATCGTAAATTGTCAACAAGGTCGAAGCAGGAACACGCAATAAGGATCCTAACAAATTGCAATTAATGAGCAAGACGAACTGCGCGCAAGTTCACGGCCGCTGCAGATTGACACGCACTCGAATGATCTTTAAATCACATAATCATGCGATTCATTTAATAAACGTACACTTACTTCGCCTTACTAACAATCATAATCTTTATAAGGACCGCTGCACACGGACAAGTTCGAAGCGTCAGCATGCTGTTGGTAGTATTTGATTAGTACATGTATGAAGTTATGTATTGCTAAGTTTCGTGTCAAATTCGATTTAATTTAATCCATTTTTATCTATGTACGGTTGCAGTAAAAATATAAGATTCTGCAACTACTAGACCTCAATCGACCTACATTCGTATAGTTTATATAGCTCAAGTATTTTAAGACAACGAAGACAAAAGAAGGCGGTATCTTTGATGTTGTGGGACGTTTTATCATGTACAATGTTTCCATGTGTTTCTTTATATAAATTGTGATTTTATTAAAAAAGGTCTTTATAGCAGTGAAGTTACATTAGAATCATCACAGTTACTTCCTTTGTTCCTCTTTATATTAAAAAGTAATCTAAATTCATTTTCTTCGTGAAAATAATGGAAATAAAAATACATTTGCAAACAGTTTCATAAGCAAAGAGTTTCTAACGTACCTTTTGCGACGATAAATATAAAAGTATGATAGATATATGCGAGTGTTCGTATAAATCAATTTGTTGTCCCCCGTACGAACATATTTTGTGGTAGCGAGCATTTTCCCAAGTTAATATGTTGCGGGAAAAACAACAAGTTGGAGAAATGGTTTACGTTCGTAAATAAAATACGATCAGCGCAACTTGTATGTAGAACAAACAAAAACTTATCGCTCATATACCACCTATTCATAAATTACATATGTGATATGTTGCTGCATCATTTATAATTTATGTTATATTTAATCAAAATGCAAAAAAAGATATATTAATAATATAAACAAAAAAAAGAAACGACATCACAGGAAAAACTAATAGAACTTTTTTCTGTCGTACAATGAAACCCGAGGGCTATTAGTTTAAACGCTGGCTATTAATAGCTTCTACGTCACAATGAGTACTACGTCACCGCTACGACGCTACGCGGCCGTAGTCGTGGCGGGACAGCGGCCGCGTAGCCATCAAGTTCGGACGAGCGACGGACGCTACTTCAAGACAAGAGTACAACTCAATTTATTACATTCTGCCTTGTTTTGGATTTTTACGAGGTAATAAAATTATTTTTTTTTTTAAATTCTAATAGCATTGATTTACATAGATCACCTATAGCTGTTGTGAAAGATTATTTAAGTTCAACAATTTCTTAATTAAAAATTAAATGGTATATAATCTATTGAGTCAATTTTGAGCTGAGATGTTGAAATCCACTGTTTTATAGAAATTTCGTCTCCACTAGCAATTTTTGTCTATAAAAAGCAGATAAGCTCATGTCACTCTGTTTACTTCAAATGTAATAAGTATAATATTTTCTTATAAAAAAAAACAAAGATGCAACAAAAATAAAAACTCCAGCACAAATATAAAAAGCGATCATTCCCGCACTTTTATTTCCTTAAACAATATTTTATTGTAACTCAGATGGCGGCGAGGCGGGGGAACTTTTTCATTTCATCGCGGGGAGCGTTTCTCTGGAGCACGACTTTCATTATCTTAAGTGGTGAGTGCGTTTGCTTTAAATAACGTTTTCAAATGGCTGCAAACGAGCGAGATGTAACGAGAACCTATCGTTCCTCAAAGACGCTTTCACTTTGGAACTATTAAATAATTCAATGAGCTTCATTTTTATAACATACGAAAAATGTAAAGTAATTAGCTATAGAGTTTGTTCTCTATTAACGATAATAGTAAAAAAACTTTTTTATCTTGTTATATTAGAGTCATTGTGTCATCGCTTTCTCCTGTTAACTCATTCATACAAAAACTATTGTTCTCTGCAATCTATTAAATATTCTTTGTTATATGTTTTGTATCATACATACATACATAACATATAATAGAAGCACTCAATACTGGAGTTTATCAACTACCTGAATTGATGCTTAGCTAAGATGTTTTAGCAAAGAGATTAGATCCGCTACACCATATAACTGTAGCAGTGTAAACACTATCCTTAGATGTGTAATGAGGTTTTTAGAAAACTTATTAGCCGAGTTAAAAAAGACCGATAAAAGAATATAACAAAAGATATTAATCAATCAATATTTCACAATACTTCTCAATCTTATGCTTTATCTTTTCGTAATAGAGGTATTGTCATTTACAAAGGACTTGGCGTGTATAAAATATTCACAAACACTTTCGACCTTACTCGCAGGTGTCGTTTTCACTGATATAATACGACAGCTGAACGCTATAACATAATATAAATGTACACGATAAATAGAATACGATCGATTGACAATTTGTATGTATTGAATTCAAGACAACATTTAACTAGTGTAGGAATAATTAAAGCTTTACGACTGCTTGACTGAGAATATTTGGTATTTATTTATTAACGAATACATTCCCGTCTCGAATAGATTGGGATGATTCCATTAGTGTTATTGTTTTAATTCAATCTGAATTGTCTCCTGTAATCATCATCATCAGCTCACTATACGTTCCCACCTAGGGGCTCGGAGCCAACCACGCTGGCCAAGTGCGGGTTGGTTGACTTCACACATATCTTTGAATTTCTTCTCAGATATGTGTAAGAATGTCGGATAAATGTACATATGTAAATCGGAAATCGAAAAACACATTGGTACATGGCGGAGTTCGAACCCAGGACCTGCAGATTGTGAGTCAAGTGCTTGACCCCTGAGCCAACAACGCTCTATTCTCCTGTAATATTTATTGAAATAATTAATGAAACGTCACACTCTGGATAATAATGCGAGTATAAATATAACTGTAAGGTTCACAAAATGTGACCCTTATCAATTTCCATTATCAAGTTTCAATGGAATCTCTCAGAGCGTCAAAAACAATTGAGTTTAAGCTATTTTAGATAAGTACGTAAGAATTATAAACTTATTTACGACTCAATGATTTTATTTGTAGAAAGAAGTAACTTATAAAATTAATGTTCAACCCCGTATACATTTTAACTGTTATTTTTTCTTCTTAGATTGTTAATTAGATTTGAAGAGATTCTTCACACATCCATGTAAAAAGTTCCGCAATTTTTTTTACTTAAAAAAGTATTACTCGTAGATTACATTTGAAGCACCTACTCCTCAATTTAAAAAGATATTCAACATTAAAATAAATGCTGTAATAATTTACTTCAGGCACGTATTGACGCGATGATTTTCGCGCTGCTTCGCCTGCCGCCGACTATTCTGAACCTTTATACAAAATAAAGTGTTGCATTCGTGTGCCCAATTTGCAACACTTTAATATCTGAAGTGGACTAAATGTAGGGTTACAATGAATACAATATTAAAATGGGATAAAATAATGACTGATCTTACTAAAGCCGATGATGAAAATTACTTCAGTAAATTAAAAAATAAACTGTAATTGTTACATATTACATATTTTTAAACACAGTTTTTTTTGCTTTGCAAAAGTTGCAGATGTATCGTCGAGCTTAAAACAGAAACAGATAGGAGAACATTCCTCTTTCGAAAATATCAGAGTTACAAATTCTTTCCTTGATTCGTTCCCTATTCAACTTATTCATTTTTTTGGTCAAAGTTCCGTCAAACCTTTTAAAGTGTTCTGTCACGTCTGCCTTGATGTTGCTTACAATAAGTTCGATAGCTTGTGTGATGAATAACATTCTTAACAATGTAGAACATCAAAATATAATTTAATTAAAGCGAAAATTCAGGCCAAACTTATGGTAACAGTTTGTAGGAATAATCAACACTGGAAGCGAGCCAGCCCGTTTCGGCGTTCCTGAATAAAAGATCGTACACTAGCCATAGCGTCGCTTATTACTGCCTGAATTATTAATAGGTAGACAACATTTTATAACTATATCTAGGTCGTCACATACAGCCTAACTGCGTGTTTCAATTGGATATGTTGACACATTTTGTTATCCCACACATTTTCTTTGACAATACAGAAACGAAATATCTAATACACGGGCCGCGACACTTAAAACCCACAGAAAAAAGTAACGCCGACTAGTCAATTCCTCGTCCTTCCGAGACCACCCCACCTCGAGGTAAACGCGGCAACCACTCGTCGTAGCCTTGACGTCGCCAATGGAGCTGGGATAAAGACAAACAAACATTATAGCTTGCGCAGGTGGACGGCGCGCGATTCGCGTGTTCACTCTCCATAAAACCGATCGCGTAGCGAATGGACTGCTGGCCATGCAGCAAATGGCGTATCGCAAAATGTATATGATTATCCCGCTTAATTAGCAGCATCGAGGCGGCAACGAGTGAACGCCGCGGCAAGAGCAAGGCTGGGCGGGGCGGTTTCGGGTGAGCCATGGAGCAATGCGCGATCTTGTTATATAGATATACATTTGAACTAGAAAGTTTGTCCTAGAAAACGGTTGAAACTCCAATAACATAATTGTCGCGCACAAATGGTAGATTAGATACGGTATGTAATGGATTGAACGATTAAAAAGATAATATCCAAATGGAATTCAGTATCATTTTTATTACTCGTTTTAATTATCTTTATCTGATTTAATACATTTTAATTGTTTAGTCATCATCATGTAATAAATATACCGCCCCGAGGAAAATTTTAACCAAAATTTTATTTTGTGTATAAAGAAAAAAAAACTTAACAGACTTAATATTACGTTTATTTTTTCATATTGAATTCTTTTAAAATTAATATTCTTTTACTACAGCGAACATATTACCAACCGCATTTAGTGGCCTGGAGTTTGATGACCTTAGAAAAATTTAATAAATATTGTCGAGAATCTAGACTCTTACAAGACTTGATTACATTTTGAAGTTCATATAGTAGCAACGTCGCTTCTTCTATATTAAACTAATATTATGTTCAAATTGAGAAAGTTCTATCAACTGAGATTTTTAATTCCAATAAGGGAGGATTCTAAGTGCGAGTGGATGGTAAAAACAACTTTTTTATTTTACGTGATTCACGTTTTTAATTAAGATTGCATACCATATATCGAACCAGAGTACGTTACACAAAGGTAAAATTCTTGCTTTGTTACTTCGTTAAAACAATGTAGAGTGGTAGTAATAGAACACTGAGGGATATTAAAAAATGCTTCACTGCAAATCGATGAGCGTTTTTCATTAATTAAGCGTTGAAATCTGAGTACATCGATTTCGTGTATACAATTCTACAGCTAAACTTATTATGCCTATTACATCCATTTCAATCATTCAATCTCATCAATTCATCTTACTTCTTACTAATATAATAATTATAAGTGCGAATGTTTGGATGTATGTCCTTTTGAAGGTATCTCCAGAACGGATCCTCATGAAAATTGGCATTCATATAGAACTAAGTCAGAAAGAACGCATAGGCTACTTATTAAGTTTATTTATAATTCCACACGGACGGATTCATAGGCAACAGCTAGTATAGTATAAATAAAAGTAAATAATACATCTTATTCCCAATAAACGAGTGTTTGTTTTTGTTACATTTCTCTGTGTTTTCCGTTTAGTGGTGACGGCTAATTGTGTTGAACTATCTACCTTTTATTTCCAGGTATCGTATGGGGTGAACGTCAATGCTACTGGTGCGGGCCCCTGGCGGAGCAGGTGCACCGTAGCCGCCGAGCACCGCCTTGCGACCTTCCCACCAGCCACGTCACCACGTGTGAGCCGGGCCTTGCGTACTGCGCTGTTGTTGCTACGTCACCACGTATGTACACTTGCTATTATTAGTTCTATTCACTATAAGGCTTTTAAAGATAACAATTTTTCTTGTTGAATCATATGCTATTGCTATTTAACTCTTTGCATCTTTAAGTGTTAATATAATCTTAAATTTGAATTGACTAATTTTGCGTTTATTAACTAATCAACATTTTATTGTTTCAGCATACATCGAATCAAGATTGTGCGTTAAACTATATCAAGATGAGTGCTATCCTTTATTTTGTAACTCAACAAAGACATGGAAAATGACGTGTCCTTGTCGCGACGATTTATGTAATGGTAATAACACTGAACGTGAGAAGGATGCATTCGCTGTTTTATCAAAACTCGTCGCTAAATCACAAAATGTTCGCATGAAAAAGAGAGAAATATCTCCAAATTTTAATTCGTCAAAACGTGATCGCACAGTTATAATAACAAACATAACAGAATTAAATCAGACAAACGAGGAATTAAATGAGATAAATAAAGATGATCAAATGATAGTCGTAACAGCGATAACCCGGCCTGAACAATCTAAACAAGACCTCGGTGTTGATAACAGCAACTCTACCAGTGTTGAACCTAAAGAAAACCTTAGTACAGAAAATAGTATAGAAAATTCTAGTACTGAAAATCCAACAACTTCTGAAAACCAGCAAGAAAGTTCTGAAAATCCTGCCATTAAAGTAACAACTGAAAATGTCGACAAAGAAATTGATGATACAAATCTTGGCTCTACAAGTTCAACAAGTCAAAATGACAACAATGAGAATAATGTCCGAGATATCAGTACTACAAATTTTATTACTGAAATTACGTCACACAAAGAAACCGAAAGCACAACACCTACTACTATAATGGCAACAAAAACTGACATCAAGGAAAACTTAACGAATATTAATATGAAATCCAGTGAACAATTACCGACAGCTGAAGCATTACAACAAAATGTTAGTCCATCTGTTACAAGTACTAAAACTACTGAATCCATAAAATCGGAGTCAACTGATTCAAGTACTATAGAGCATGAAACCACAACAGTGGAACCAGCTAAGGGAGGTGGGAATTTTGCTATGCGTTTATCCTTAAGCACTCAAACTCTTGTAGCAGTATTATTTGTTATTGAAAATTTGTAATAATTACTGTGTTTCACTGTCGTAATACTTGAATAAAACATATCGTGCCCCTGTTTTTCAAAGAGAACACTGATCGCTATATATAGTACAGCACAGGCTATGAGCCGTGGTGTTTTGTGCCTATTTGAATTTCACCATTTTGACGCTAATGGTAGCAGTTGACAGTTACTTGAATCGACACTTTTTTATAATAAAAATCTGTCTTTTCATGAAATATGTTTTTCTTAAAGTATTTCGGCAGTAGTACTATCGGTTAAAATTTCGAATAAAGGCACTTTTTACTATATTTTTGCAATTTAATAACTTTTAAATGTTTTTAAATTTTAATCACTCTGCACAAAATGTTATCAACTGTTAAAAATGATCTCTCTTTGCATTAAGGTGTTCGTTTTATAAATCTTGTGATATTAGAGTAGAGAATGTATGTAAATATTTTTAATAAAAGTTTATAACCAATTTTTTTAATTGTTTTTTTTTTTAATTTCTTATTACATTAACGTATACAACGTTACTTATTCGTTATTCTAAGACGATTGTAAGACAATTTTTTTACCAAAATTACCAAAATAAAATAATAAACATTAAAACAATAACCATAATTAAAAGATTGTATTTACTTTATTATGTTTTACATAATGTTACAAATGCATATTATATACTGTACAATGTATAAGTTTCAAAATAAACTGTAGTCATAAAAAAGTGAAAAATTTTATAAATACCCATTTCATTATTACCTACAACAAAATATTTTGACAAAACGGAAAATTTTGGTGTATATAAAAAATACATATAATAATTACATATACTATAGATATAGATAATTGATCAGTAGTTAGGAACAAAATTTGACTAAAATAAGTACATTAGGTAATTGTGAAAAACATAGAACAACATTTTTTTTAACAAATATTCTACTATAACATGGCAACAGAATTATTTTAAACGCGTGTTTATAAATGGAATAGCGATTTTCTAAATTATCCCATTTAGTCAACTTTATATGTCAAAATACATAAATAGACGGAACAAGAGATAAACTCTACAAGCTCACATTTTTTTTTTCAGTTAAGTCTTTTAGATTTACACAATTCGTATAAATTCATGTTCCAATTAAAGAGATTCAATAATATCAGTCATAGAGTTAAATATAATATTAAACATAGAGCGGACATTACAATTCAAATATTTTAATCATAATCCAACGTAATTGTCAATATTATCACTAGTGTTAAACTAGAACTTCATCATTAGTACATTTTCGTATTATATGTTCTGTCTATTCGTTGGTGTATATGTTGAATGTCTTTGGTTTTAACATATTTTTTATATAAAAGGATTAAGCCGATTAAGATTCAGAATCACAGTATTGTAAAGTTCTAGACTAAATATCCCTGTGAAGTAAAAACATCTTAATAGTAACAAACTTTGTAAATAAAATTAATAGAAATAACGATAGATTAAAAATAAATTTCTCTTCGAGAATAAACATGACGGAACCCTGACAACGATTTGAGCGTAATTTTTTCAGAAATTCGATTTAAAATAATTGAAGGACCTGAATTTAGTATATTTCTTATAACATACAGTATGGTAACAGAACAGGATCTTCATATCAAATATATTTAAAATATATGCTTATATCTATTTCATTGTATACAGGGCCGGTTTAAGGTTTTATTTCCGGCGCCCTGGGCCAGATTTTCGGGGACCCCTTTTTTGGTATCGGGTTGAAATCCTTTAAAAATATGATATCTCAGTGGGCGCCCTTTAAGATCCGACTCTGGTGCTTGCGGCGCCCTCTTATGCCCGGTGCCCTGGGCGGTCGCCTCACCTCGCCCTACCCTAACGCCGCTACTGGTCGTATACAGTATATTGTATCCATAAAATATATAAAAATGCAAACACTAATCTTAACCTGTATGTTTCCATTTCATCGATAACTGACCATTTGTAATATTACTATAAAAACAAGAATTTCGGAAAATCTTGAGATTTACCGGTAAAATCTAAGCGGTAAATGCTCACAAGGACCACAAACGTTTCGGATTTTTGCCATGACTACTTGGTTAATCTTAAGTTTTACCGGTAAATTCTAGAATTCACCGTAGTTCTTAACTTAATGTACCACGTTTTTGACTACGAAATATAAGGTAACATCTATAAAGTAAGTACATACATAAGTTGTGTGACATAAAATGAATTTATGTATTGGAATTGGTAACTGATCGAGCATCAAATGTGATTGTCATTGGATCGTAATGTATTTTCAACTTTTCGTTGTTTGCTTTCGATTTAATATTTTGTAGTTTATGATCAAGTGTTTCTTCTTCTTTTTTCAATTGGTTTAAAACAGTTTCTTGGTTTTCGGATTGAGAAGGTAAAGAATCCAATGAATGCTTATTGGATTTTGTTTCTTCTGAAACTTTTTCATCTGGTTTGTTGTCATTTGCACTGGTTAGCGGGAGAGGAGTCCTGAGTACCTTATGAGTTTTTAACCAATTCTTAAAAGAAAAGAATACATATAAGTTTTTATAACCGACTATTAAATATTGCTTCTATGTATTAGAGATAAAGTTTTTTACTTACATTAGGTTCCTGAACACAACCATCGGAATCATAATATGTTGTGTCGTCTTTGGATTTGAAATCGGGTCTATAATAATGGTATATCAGAATTGGAGATGACGATCGCTTTGTCTCCTGATTTTTTTTCTTTTCACCTCTCCCATTTACTTCAGTAAAGGATTTTTTAATTTTTTTGGCCGCTTCATCATCTGTAAGATCTTCAGATGACGATATTTCTGAATAACGCTGTTCTGCCAGTTTTCTAAATAATTCCAGTTCTCGATTTATCCTCTTTTGACAGCTTTTTCTTTCTGAAAATCAATGCTAATTTGAAAAACAGTTTCAATGATCATAGTAAAAGATAAAGAAAAAGAACAAACCGTTTTCTAAATCTTGATAGCTCCTGTTCTTTTCGATGATTCTCTTTTCTTTTTCATATTTATGTCGTATTGAGGATATATATTTAGTGATGAGTGTCAGAGGATTCAATGTGGATATTTGACATTTCTGTAACAATTTTATTAAAAGTAAGAAAATATTTCTTAAATATAGGAAATAAAATCTGTGCGTTAAGTGACCATGAATTGAAAACAATTTTTATTTTAAATATAATGCAACAAACAAAAAAATGACCATTATTTCTAAGATATTTTCATGTTAGGTTAGATTAGGTACTTACAATTTTAAATTAAAATTAAAAATTATTTATATCAACCCAAAAAGTCTAAGGTTTTTATTAGCAAATTTGTATGTGTAATCTTGGCCTAAATGCTAATAAACACGGTTCATGGATGCTGCTTACCTCATTAATACTTTTAGTTTCTGTTTTCTTATTTGTTTTATCATCTGTTGTTTTTTTCGTCTTCTGATGTTTTGAAACAGGTCGTTCAATTGAAGCTTTTGATTCTTCTTTGTCGGAGTTTTCACTATACGTTATTTCATCGGCACTTTGTGCCGAATGTTTGAACGTTGAAAGATCATGTTCGATGCAGGATTTAGGCACTGGAATTGAATAAAACTAATAAACGGCTAAATCACGTATGTTCGTCCGACGGCACTGACAAGTTTCGAGCCCATCATTCCGATGGACACCGGAAGAGACAGGATGAACATACGTAAATTTTAGTTTGAATAATTTATTGGAATTGAATTATTTTAAATCATATAACCATAGATATTAATTTTGAATTTCGAATATAAATATTTTCAACGTACCATGAACTTCAGTTTTGTATTCAGTATAATGTGGCAATGATGATAAATAAAGATCTCTTGGATGAATCGTTTTCACATCTATATATATATCTATTTCCTTAAAACGAAAAAAACTGCATTAGTAATTATATGTACTAAATATTTAAATTGCGAATTAATCAATTGTATTTTGTCGTAAAATTTTTGACACTAACAAAAAAACTCTAAAAAGCTGGCTTGTTGACTAAATCTGCAAATTAGATGTATATTTTGAAATTATTAACAGGCATGCAATAGAGTTATATTTATATTTCTCACTTTAGCCTTCTTTTTACGTGAATCGATGAACGTTTCTTCTTTCTTCTTGGTACGTTTCTTTGAACGATTGCTCCTGTCCTTGGATTTATCTTTAGCACCAGTAGCACGTTTTTTCTTCTCAAATTCACTCTCCTCGTCATCGTCTTCTCTGTTTTCAATAAATCGATACGCATTTTCGAATATTTTCCTTCCCATTTCTAGATTTTGATAACGTTCTTCTATAATTCTGTCCCATTGCGATTCTGTTTCTGCAAAGATTAACTGAATTTCATATATGCATGTGCATTAGATACTGACTACTTTAATTTATCGTGATCGATAGAAATAAATTTTAGTCATATCCATTTACTTTTATACCCAAATACGGATTTTACGAGACATATTGTATCCAATAAGTTATAATTTAACTGTTACACATTACTATTGCTAAAACAACAAAATAAATAATATTTTTTTAACACTTATATAAGTTTACACAAACCTTTCCCAAAACTTCTACCAAATGTACTTTTTTCATATAGACGACTTTCCTGAAACTTTTCATTCTTTATACGGTATAGATTGTTACGCGTATTTTTCTCCAAATATATTTTGAAATAATTGCTCTCCTAAAAACATAAGGAAAATAATTAACACAAAAATTATATACCATAATTAATAAAAGTATGAAAGTTAACTTTATTAGTGTAGTCATAGAGGCGTGAATATTGAAATACGAACTAAAAGCTACACGAAACATGTCTGAAGCTACCAATATATATCTTCTAGCAAGCGTTAACTTTAACCGTTATTCATCATTAAAATTGTGAAAGAAAATATCGGCTATTATTTTGGCTGTAGCTTGAAAATTCAGTAGCTTTTGTTTCAAGAAAATTATAAAAAGGTTACACTTTTCATATTTTTGTCAATATGAATAAATTAATTATAAATAAGGTGTGAAAGCGTCACAATACATTCGCAATTATATTACAATTATTATTGTTAACAGTTAACAATAAGCGGGTAATAGCATAAACGTCACGCTTTATAAAATCATTATTAATTTCCTAATAGAACATAACCATAGAAATTTTAAGCTTCGAAGCATTGGCTACTAAACTTTTATATATAATTATTTATATACTACCTCTAAAGTACATAACATGTAATTAGCGTTATCTAACAAGGTTATGTTCTGATGTGTTATTACTATTTTGTACATACATTTTACAAAATTACATGCGTTAGTGACATTCGACGTTGTCATAATTGTAATTTTCGTTTTAGTGTTCAACAAACTATTCATTATTATATACATTATATGGTTAGCGTTGGTAATTACTATTTAGGTTAGAATAACGATGGTTACACATTCTAAATGCATTTTGCATTTATAAAGCTTTAACTAATTCTATGGATTCGGATATAAATACTCACCAATGGATTTTTTGAACTGTATTTAAAAGAAATGTTGGATTATTTTAATATTTAAAATTAATATACCACAAGTAATTTTTAATAATTCTATTTAAAAAATTATATGTATATTTTTATAGTAATTATGTACATGAAATATTAAGAATATGATATATAGATCTTTTACAGAATAAATAGCTAGTGACTTAACCTAGAAATTTTATTTACAGTGCATTCAAAAATTATCACACTTTATGTAATTTCTTACTCACCAAAAGACTCCATTTCGTCTAAACTCAATTTACGTAATCTAGTATATTAAGTAAAATATAACAATAATACAATTTTATATATCTCGTCTTTACTCACACTATTTTCAGTTGGTTTTTCACAATTCAAATAACACAATATATTCTAACGCTTAACAATTTAAAACGCAGATGTAAGGTACATTTTAAATAAATTAAAATGTGACATAACATAGTGTTGCCACGTCATACACATAGAAATGTAATGTTTACAGTAAGTCCACTGTCTAACGACATATACAAAAACATTATTTTCTCTATTTTACCAAAGAAAATGAGAGAGATAGCTATATGTTTCGCATATGTGTTTCGACAGTGTTCACTGACGGTAATTTTACGTATGGGTACGTTTATTCAGATCCACATGGTATGTAGTAGAGACTGTTCTCTATTATATTTTTGCGATATCACACCGAATGACGTTACTTAACCTAACTCAATTTTGTAAATTCGTTCAGTGAAGGAGATTCTAGTATGTTGCTTGAAGGTCACCATAAATGGCATTACGTGTTGTCAATATTTTGACCGAATTTTGACAGTTTTGTATGTATCCGATTTCCGATTGAAAAAAAATCCGTTTAGTTAACTTAAATACTATTTAAATCAATCTAAAATTGTATTGACACTATGTAATATTATTTTAAATAATTTTAACAAAAATATTCATTTCCTTAATTTTAGTAGGTCTCATATAAAATTTAAAGTTACGTAAAGATCGGTACTAAAATAATAATAAAATTCTTATAATCCATTAGTTCTTTATTTATCATCATTATCTACTTGTATATACTAATTTATATTCGTATATTATTCTAATAAAGCTTGCTTCAACGATTTTCGATTGCTTACTTGTATTTCCGAGTACTCGTCTTCTTGCGTCATATTGTCAGATCCAATGTCAGAATCTGTGCTCATGTCAGAATACGGTAGAAGTATGTCGTCATTCGTTAAATCATGTATCTGACTTTCTTTAGATGTACTATCATCAATTCCGTTATGATTAACTGAATTAGACTCAATCACAGAATTAGTATATTCTGATATAAGATTTTTATTAATAGCCTCGAATTCATTGGCACCTTTATCAATATGGCCTAAGTTCAACATAGGATCAATTGGTTGAACTAACTTAGAGAAAGTGCTATATGGGTAACTTTTGAGAATATTTCCATTTCTATCTATTCCCTTTCTTTTCTTTAAATGTGGTCGTCGAAGTGGAATTTTTTGCTTCTTATTCATTTTCTTCGGTTGTTTACGTTCTTGTTTAATGGCTCCGATTTCTTTAGCTTCTTCTTTCACTCTAGCTCTTACTCCTTTGTACTTAAGATAATGTTTCTGTATCCTCTGTTCTTCCTTTTTCTCAAGTCTCGCTTTAATATCTTCGATATCTTTTTTTTCCTTTAAATATTCAATCAGATGCTCCTTTAAACTCTTAGGACGTTCTGAAATAACAATTATATTTAATAAATAATTTCAATACGGCAATAATTTAAGTTTGCAGATTTGACATTTAAGTCTATGGTATAATTAAAAACGTCTTTATTTTTTTACAATTTACTAAACTAAAACAACATTATGCGGTCTGTTGCAGCAATTATTACATACTATATTTACCTTTCTTTTTTGAATTAGAAATGCGACGAAGCTGAGATGATGACATTGAAATCATTCGCATATATTTTTTACTCTTCTTCTTTTGCTTTGACTCGCGCTTCTTTCTATTCTCATGTCTTTGTTTGGAGGACAGTTTCATTTTTTCCTCCTTTTCCTCGTTATCAGTCTCATCATTACTAGAGGAACTCATTATGCCAATACCTTCTGAAAGTAAATAGCAATCTTGCATAAATGAATATTAAATTAATGTAACGAATTGGTGGAATTTTGTGAAAAATCAATACTACGGATTAAATTGATATATTGAGAGCTGTATATAAGAGAATACCTATATATCTACTTAATAAATATAGGTATTTTTTATATCTCCATACAAAATATTACTAGTAGCAGTTTAATACTTCAATTTAGTTTAGTAAATAGAATCAATACTGGAATGTCAAATAAAGAAAACGAGAAAAGTCGTAACTAAATTAAATTAAAAAGTAAAATTTTATACCTACTAAATAATTCGTTACAGTGTTTTTAGTTTTTAATTATTTGTTTTTAACGTATTAAGTCATTAGCTCTACCAGGTATTTTTGTCTCACGATTTGTTTCCTGAAATCATAACATTTAAATAAATTAACCTATACAATTAAAATGATTTATATAGTTCAATACATTCGCAAATGCTAACAAAATGTATAATATTGAACTTTTAAATATTGGCGAATGTAAGCTGTAGTTCAATTAACAGTATTTGTTCGTAATTTTACTGACTTAAGATGTTTAAAACATTTGAAATGTATGAATATCAATGACCAATTATTAATAATCATTTTATAACTATTCATTCTTTATTTTTTTACGAAACCGCAATTGAAAATAGCGCCATCTATACATGACTTGGAAACTATAGTTAACTAAAGGAATGCGAACTTTCTTTTCGTATTAGAGAAGTTCTAACTTTTACAATCCATTCTTTTTTTAAAATTCGTGGTTATTTACTAAAATGAAGAAAGTACATAATTGAATAAATAAGGAGATATGCTAAAATAAAAAAATAAAACAAACTCATCAGTATTGATTTGCTTATCCTTGTTTTCTTAAATTAGAAATCAATTCTATATTAATACATTTTTTAGGTATTCATATTATATATTTGAAAACAATGCATTTCTATAATAGTTCTTTATTTACATTAAATTATATTATACATTAAAATAATTTATATCTAGATTTAATCGAAAGTAAAATCATAATGTTGAAGTAATTTTCGATCAATTTTTTTAGTTTCTAAACTTCTAGCGCCTTGAGTAAAGGCTTCGTTTAAATCCGAATCAAATGGTTTCCTTCCCTTAGCTTGCTTTGGAACTGGTCCGTAATAATCATAAGTCGGGGGTGGTGCTATTTCTGTACCATCATTCCTTCTCTTTTCTGGTCTTTCTTCATCATCTAATTCATTTATTATAGGAGTAGATGCTGGTACGAAATTTTTATATTTTAAATCTTTTTTAGTTGTAAAAAATAGACCTTTGGGTACTTCATCAATGGGTCCTATAATTGGTGGAGGAGGTGTTTTTGTTCGAACATCTGACCATGTTTTTTTCTCATTTACAATATTTCCTTCGTCGTCAAACTCTTGACTTGCTGTTGTTGAAGTTTGAGGTATTGGTGCAAATTCTTTTATCCTTTTAGCTCTTTGTTGTTCAACGTATTCTTCTTGTGTTAGTTCTCTGAATTTCTTGACTTTTCCATCAACACCCTCTTTACCAATATCCCATTCGCGTACATAAGCTTCTCTCAACTTCTGTCTCTCCTTCTCTTGTTCCTCTCTAATCTTCTTCTCTTCTTCTTTAGCTTTATTCTCCGCTTCGTTCCTTTGTTGCGTCAAAAATTCCAATAGACACGTTGTAAAATCTTTTTCATTCTCTATGAAGCAAAAAGAACATCATTAGACACTTACATTATTTAATGAAATTGAAATTAGTATTTACGATTAGTAAATATTCATTTATTTACATATTTTCTATGTAATAAATTATGTAAAATTAACAACCAAATATATAAAATTAGTAGTCAAAGGATTAGTAATAATTATTAGATTAATAGTAATTAAGTATTTGCTCAGCTAAAAGCTACTATGCATTATTTCATTGTCGGCTAAGGACATACTAAAGTAAAGAAAACACATAACAATATTAATATAAAATGGGAGCTAATAAGGGGCTATCCACAAATTACGTCACAAGAACTTCATTATTTTTGGACCCCCTCCCCCGTCTTTGTCACAACTGATCACAGCTGGTCACATTTGTAACCCTTTAGTGTGACGTCACAAATTAAAAAAAAATGACAACAAGACGAATTGTTGCAGCATTTATCAAAATATATATGTATGTTGAAAAAATGTGGCGTCACCAAATTTGGGGACTCTCCCCTCCCCTTGTCACACTTCGTCGACCCCCTCCCCCCTCATGATAGTTGACGTATTTATGGATGAAGCCTAATGGAAATATTGAAATTTCCATCTTACTCTTCGGTTCCTCAGGAGGAAGACCAGCTCTGGCTCGCTGTCTGGCTCTAGCAGCCGCCACCCTCGCTGCCAGCAGTTCATCGCGTTTCTTCTTCTTCTCTTCTGCTTCCTTCTGTGCGCGCAACGTTTCCTGTCTTTGTTTCAGTAATTCTTGCATTTGCTTCTGACGTGTTGTTTCATCCGTCGAGAAGGAATAGTAACCGACACCATGGATTCTTGCCTCTGCACAAAATAACAATTAATTAAAAAAACTTTTATTACGTTATTATAGAATTTTTCTATGTTTGAAACTAGATGGCGCTATCGCCAATCTACACTTTAAAATCGATATAATTAATCAAAATAGATTAAAAAAAAACGATGGAATGTAACGTGAAAAAATCTATATTCTAGACGGCCATAAAATTATTAAAAACATTTTAAATATTTAGAATATAATCTGTTACTTAATAAACTAAAAATCAAATCTCTTCTAGTTATTTGTATTCAGGGATTATTGTTGTAAGGAAGTATATTCCGATTCAAAAATAAACAAAGATAAATAAAGTAATAAATAACATACCATCGAATAACAAATCTTGATAATGTATATCTTTGTCTTTCGCAAGTAACTCTCTTTCTTGTTCATCCCATTTGTCGCGCAACGTTTGTAAGTAATCGTTTGTTTTCTGTACTAAATATGGATTTTCTGGCTGCTTTATTTCCTGAAATTATGTCAATTAATATTAGTTTTGAACTTTAAGGAACGATAAACATAAAACAAAATACAATTCGCATAGCTCTATATACTACTTATGTATTAAATAAGATATTAACCCGTACCAATAATAATTATAATAACATGATTAATCTTTATTGCACAAATAATGCTACGTACTAACTGTCAGCCGCGACTCCATCCGCGCGAGATTAAAGTAAAAAGCTTAATTAGTAGCATGTATTCTTCCCGACTATGTTCTACATCTATGCCAAATTTCAACTAGATCCAGGATCCATCCAGTTCTGGAGATACCTTCAAACAAAACATCCATCCATCTATCCAAACATTTGCTTTCATATTAGTAAGAATTATAATTAGTCCATACTAACGTAAAAAGCGCAGCTTTGACTTTTACGTCGTATAGGTTAGATGGCTATAGTTGCAGACACTACTACTGACTCTAGCTATTATTTAACTAATCTTATTAATATTATAAATGAGAATGTTTATATGGATGGATGTTTGTTTGAAGGTATATCCGGAGTCGGGGGCGACAGCTAGTATCTATCTAAATGTACGTATATGTATTAACTCACCTCAACTATTTCATTGTCATCAGAGTTTGTGATAGCCTTCATCAACTCCCTGTCTCTCTTCTTAAATAACTCCAGCTCTGACTTGTGACATTTACGTGATCGTCCCAGACAATCAGTAAATTCAATCCTGGCAATAAAAAAACAATACAAAATTTAATAAAAACAACAAAAAAAATATTAGTTTGTCCCTTGCTTTAAACATATAGACTCAAATAAGAACATTATAATAAAAAAATGAGTCCTTGAATACCTTTTTTAAATAAAACACACAACAACAACAGTTAATGTCAATACAACTGGTTAGTTTTTTTTTTAAAAAATAAGTAATCTACACTTATATTATAAAGAGGAAAGATTTGATTGTGTGTTTGTTTCCTTCGAATATGTTCCGTAACTACTGAGCCACTTTAAATATGAACATAAAAATTGAACATTGGTTATTCATTCCTTGATTTCATTAATTCCGCGCGAACGAAGTCGCAGGCAACTGCTAGTAGTTTAATAAATATATATCTTACCATTCACTGTCGTCTTCAACAACATTGTTAACTGGTTCTGTTTTGACATCACTCTGTTGCTCTGTTTCCTTGGATTCAGCTTGTTTCTTGCCATTAAAATCAACGAGAAACCTTTCAGCAAGCTGAGAATTTCCTCTTTTATCAGATAAATGTTCATATAATTCTGCTTTCTTCTCTAATGCTAACCTGAAACGTAAAATTTTAAGGTTTTGAAATTACATTTCCAGGGCTTTGCCGATCAAGGAACTTTAGCCAGAAAAAAAGAATTATTTTTTTTTAAATCCAAAAAGCATGCGGTTAAATTTTTTGACATATTTCGATTCTCTAGGGGCAAACCCTCTTGCCCTCTTTGGCGTCACCTATTTATCATATACAAAATAACCAGTGGGTTTCTGTAGTTGAAACATTTTTCAATATATCAACACATATTGTCACCCTACTTATTCTGTTTAAGAAAACAAGAATAACAACATGTTAATACTGTCTGGCCATGAAATTATACGACGACAAAACATTTGTACCCAAAGGTTACAGCCTACTACGCAGTTTATCTTGATATTATCATTGTTTAATGCAAATATCACTTTGAATTGTATCGATTGCTTCCAAGATTATCATATGGTGTTTCGGTAGTGGAAAAATCCTAAATAAATTATGTCATGTTTATTTTTACTAATAAAGATGGGTGACAATATATATAGTTGTTTAGATATGAAATATCAGGGATATATACATGAAATTAAAAAAAAATACTAACTTAGATTTTCTAATAGCCTCTAATTCATCTGTGTCAACAGCTTTAAGGTTATCTTTGAAAGTTTTATGACTCTGTTGACTGTCATCTGTTTTCTTTTCAGTTTTCGAAGGTTTAAAATTTTCTACTTTATGCTGTGGTAGTTGTTTCTTTTCTATAACCTCTTCCTGTTTCTTAAGAAGTTCCGCTTTGAGACCTAATAGCTGAAATAATTGAAAGAGCATTTAGCAACACCTGATCTCCATTCTAAGCCAGGCGTTGACAACCTATAGCAGGTTACATTGTAATTATGATCGAAACAATAAAAAAATAATAGAAGATTTTTTAATACTGACTCTTTGTTATTTTGACCAGCTTTTAAAAAAGGTTGCCAACATCTGTTCTAAATATAATTATTTTGTATAAATATATTCATACTTACAATAGATTTGTTAAAAGAAATCTTCTTTACTGTCTGTTCATTCATTTTGTTCACTAAAAGTTGTTGCTGCTTTAAAAAATGTTTATTTTTTTATCTTTTTATCATACAAACCCTTTTAGTAGCATTTTACATTGTTTCTCGTCCGACATTCTCAAAATTACCTTTTTCGAAAATATAAACGCTTTTTTTTTCCTCTTTACAAATATATCAGTAATAATGATACACCCATGAAATATATAATTTATTTAATATATTTTATTGGTGTTGGTAATACTTACTGTAATAGTTTGTGTGTTTACGGTTCTGTTTTGAGTTCCAAAAATCTAAAAATAAAAAAAAAACTCAAAAAACAAAATAAAAAACATTTCGCAAATAAATATAATGTACAAAATTTAAAAAAAAATCAAAGAAATGAAAACATTTAATTTGTTTTACATGTAAAAATTTGTTTTATGTGCACGCCAGCCTTTAATAAGGAAAAGCTTTTAAAAAGGTAAAAATCACATGATCTTAATCCACTGCTAAAATGTGTATTCAAAGACAAATTATTTTTATATGAAAAACAAAATCGAGATTTTGTTAATATATTGTTGTTGTTTTTGGTAACTATTGTAACGAAGCTTGATGCTTTTTTATGATTTCCAACAGTCAGATGGCAAGATTCAAATCCCCAACCATGTGATCATATTATCATACTTTTAATCAGGGATGTCTAGCATTTACATATCAATTTACCATTTTTCTAAAGAAATTTTTGGTGAAATCATAGATTGGAAATCATTTTGTCTTATTATATGTGTTTCTGCTTCACATATGCCTAAATCACTCTTTTTGTAACAAAAATCATCATATTTTTGTTAGCTGACATGCCTAAAATATTATGTGCCATAAGTGCACCATCCCTGTCCTAGACTATTAGGCTAATAGTGGTTGACAAAAGTCAATCCATATTGTGTGTCAGTTAAACTGTACAGGTCTCAGTTTGACTTGTAATGTTTTAACTGTACAGTCCAACTGTAGGCCTGTAGCTGGCTTTCTACTCATTAATTCAATATCTGTAGAATTTCCACAATTGTATTGATTAACTTTATCACTACAATAATAACAAAACTTAATATATATATATAGGCATTCTATATGTATATTATTGCACCATAATTATTAAGATTGCTAAAATGAAACAATGTACAAATTAAACAGATAAATGAAAAATAAAAACACACAGTAATATGGTAGAAACTTGTATGGTAAATCGATGGAAGCATTCATTAGAATGATATAATTACCATGAAAATTTGACTGAGCTGAATGGAGAAGGAAAGGGTAAGAAAGGTGAAATATTCAATTTCGACTTTCTTTCCCTTTCCTTCCCTATCTTTTATAAAATTTTATTTAGCAAAAAACTCATCCTACTCAACTAGAAACACAATTTTTTAAAAGTATAGCCAAATAAGGGCAGCCATTTTGATGTTGTGATCATGCATACATTTGCCAAATCATGTTTTCACAAAGACTTTTTGCAGTGTATACCACATCATTATAATTATAAATTATTATAACATAATTCTATAAACAATCAACATTTACTAAATTATTAATTAAATATTTAATATAACGCCAGCTTAATAATCTAATAAGAGAATAAAAATTTACCTTTTTATAGATGCATATATGAGTTGAGAGTGAAAAGTTGAGGTACACCTCCAGTTACCTTCTTTGTTGTCTCCCAACCTAAAGATCATAAAAACCACTCAGCAAACGGCAGCTGAACGAACTACGAAATTGAAACACTACTGAAAACTGAAATCTTAAAGATTGACCTCTTTAAATAATTTAAATAATTATTCATAAGATCTCAAAATAGCTCTGGAGCTGTCTGGAGTTCCAAAGAGTAAACATTGAGTTATCACATTGACAACCGATCAATACTAATCATATAGTGCAGTGCATTGCATTGTAATCAATAGTTAAGTAACTTCGTTGTAAAAACCGTTTACCTGTACTGATATATTTTGAGTAATAACCGTTAACATATTTTTATGATATTTTTTATTAATGTAGCTACTTATATTTGTATGTGTATATACTAAACGATGAAAGTAAAGGGTCAAAAATGTTTGTGGTGATGTTTTGCTTTCATGGGAATTATAAAGAAGTGGTTGATCGTTTGAGGTTTGTGTAGAGTACTGAATAATAATAAACGTCAAAAGGTAGGAAGAAGTGTAAAAATATTTGTGTTAAATAAATGTAATTTTTATTAAAAGCATTATATAAAACAATACAGGAAAATAGAATCCAGTACATTCTAGTATGTAGGTAGTGGTAGGTAGTTTGGAGAGTCATCTCGATATTTTTTAGAATTCTTATTGTCTATGGGTAAATGAATAGACAAACACCAACCTAAAAATAATAAAATGACACATTTTGAGTTTGACTGACATCTTTGCAATGCAGTGATCTCAGCTAGTTTTTTTTTTGCTAATTTCATGGTCATTCTGACAACTATTTCATAGGCCGTGACGAAAAAATCTCTATACAACATAACAAAGAAACGATTTACAGAATTAAGCTAAATTTTAAAAATAGTGATAAACGGTTGTTCGTGTGATATTATACATCAAGTACAAAAGAATAAAACATTATTACTTAGAAATAATTGTGTGCGATCAAAATGTCAACGCCAGCTAGAAGACGTCTTATGAGGGATTTTAAACGGTAGGAATAATCGTATAGCGTTGGTACTTGAAATAATTTGGATAAAAAATTGAAATTTCAAGCTACAAAAATAACGCTGAACTATCCAATTACATCATTGTCACATTCATCGATTTCTTTTATGATCTACATATTTCATACGATCAAGTCGATGATGAAGGTTCACTATTATTTTACACGAACTCTTCGCATGCTCTAACGCTACGTCATGGCTACGTCAAGTTCTCCGTTATTTATACTTTTATCGGTGTATAACTTTGTTATTGTTTGCTAAATTAGGTTATGTGGAGGTTTAGAAAGTTTATTGTGTTAAAGTAAGCGTAAGGTATCAGTCAGCTAGTTTTTAATAAACTTCATTTTTAGATGTCATTGACCTTGTTTTCCCATGTTCTAGAATGTTCAAATATTCTATTTTAATACTTCACAGCTTACAAGAGGACCCACCCACTGGTGTTTCTGGAGCTCCTACTGACAATAATATCATGATCTGGAATGCTGTGATATTTGGTCCCCATGATACTCCTTTTGAAGATGGGACCTTTAAATTAACTATAGAATTTACTGAGGAATATCCTAATAAACCTCCAACAGTGCGATTTGTATCCAAAATGTTCCATCCAAATGTGTATGCTGATGGTGGGATTTGTTTAGACATTTTGCAAAATAGATGGAGTCCTACATATGATGTCTCTGCAATTTTAACCTCAATACAGGTAAATGTATAATTCTTTATGCACAAATTTATGCATTTGAATTCATCTTATTTGAAGACTCCTGTATCACTTATTTTTATAATTGCAATAATTATCTTCATCATTTTGATCCAGTTCACTACTGAACATAAACATTGACCATAGCTTTATGATTACAACACCATTTTATATTCCAATAGGAAGTTATTCTCATATGTTTATCAAATTCATATAAGCCAAAGAATCTTGACCTATTTAATTTTAATTGCACTATACTTTTATATGTCATTGTCACTATTTCTTTATGGTGCTATTAAATGAAACTTGCTCTAGAACAAGTCTAAAATAGGAATTACTGAGGCCATACTCCATAAGTATAAATATTATTTATATCTTTCAACAAATATAGTGGTAAGTATACATTTACAGTGTATACTAGTTGTCGCCCATGACTCCGTCCGCCCGAAATTAAAAAAAGTAATAAGTAGGCTGTAGTATCTGGTCTTCCAGACTATGTTCTACATCTGTGTTAAATTTCATCAAAAACCATAGAGCCGTTCAAGAGATACCTTCAAACAAATATCCATCCATCTATTCAAACATTCTCATTTATAATATAAGTAAATTGTATTTGTTTGTTTTTTCCAGTCATTGTTAAGTGATCCTAACCCCAACTCACCAGCAAATTCGATGGCGGCCCAGTTGTACAAGGAAAACCGCAGAGAATATGAGAAGCGTGTTAAAGCTTGTGTAGAACAATCATTTATTGATTAGCAGGGCTTGTGTGGGGTTGACAACAATGTTGTATGCATGATTTGCACTGCCCATGGCATTGGCCACCAATATAATTCATTGGGACGATTGTGTAAATTAAAAATTATAATACCATATACAGACCTGCCTTTGTATATTGGCAGCACGGGACATAAAAAAGATTTTGGTAAACCAAGTATATTAAGGATTTTATTTTTATTTTGTTGGTAGTAGTGTTTTAATAATCTGTATCAAAATATGTTCAACTTGGATTACCATGTGCAAATAGCAAATAATAGGCTAATAACATGTTTAACATTAATAAAAATAGCAGTTTGTTTTATTTTATAAATTGAATTATTTATTTTTTATATTGTCAACATTCTTCATATTTCACTGTTTCAGCATTATACTAATTTCAGTTAAATTTTTGTGTTAAAATATAAATTAATTGAATATACTAAAATGTTTTCTTAGGTCATCCATTTACATTCTACAATATGCGTTAAAATTAATCCTTGCCTATGCTTTGATAATATAGCTGTAGAGTAGTTACCTTATATTTTCTTTTATAGTTAACAAAAGAACCTCGATTGGGCTTGTGAACGATTTTATAATGAACTTTAGATTGGAATAAAATATTCAGTGAACTCCGTAAGAAAGACTCATGTGAACGCAAAAAGTACAATTTTTTATAAAATGTTAACATTTACAAAATACACTCTTAAATATTAATGCTGTATTATTGGTCCATTATCACGTCTGCACAAATCATTTATAATTTCACTGCACTTTGAATGTCCCAATGTTATATTTTCTAAAGGGTTGTATAGCTATTTTGTTTTCTCATTAAGCTATGATTTAGCAATGTTTCATGATCATTTTTACATAGGTATATGTAATATTTTGTCTTCTAGTAAAATATTATTTTCGGTTTGAGATTTGTGTTTTAATCAATATGAAGCCTTTTGCAGAATTATATGACTTACTTCTCTTTAGATTTTTTTTTTGAAAGAATACATAACATATCGACAGTTTTAATACATGAAACATTTTTTATTATAAACAATGATTTGGTATTGCTAAAACAATGTGATAGTGGAATTTGAATTTAACAAAATTTCAAACGAGAGGGTAAAAAAATAAATTACTGAAAGATAAATTTCTCATGCATTTTTTAAAAGTATTATGAATACAAGCAACATTATTCTAATTGCCATACATTATTAGCTTTAGGCTCAATGATTAATGTAGGGTAACTCTAAATTAAAGAATTAACAAATAAATTGTGTGACATCCAACATGCAATCTATGTAATGCAAATTGCTTCTTGGTTTTATTTTTGTAGTTTTTACGGTATGAATTCGTTAAAATTTTAGTTAATATGAATCAATTATAATTTATATATATATATATATATAGCTATTATGAGTTGGCATACGAACAAGCAGCTACCTTTAATCGCAGAAGAGGACGCACAGAAAGAGGATATTTCCCCTTCAAGTGTCCTCTCCTCCGCCAAAATACCTTCTTTTCCCATCATTTCCTTATAAGAAACTGGTGGAGAGGGAACGACTAAAGTTAGACCTCCATCACACAAACTCATTAGACAAAACGCAGAAATGGGTCCACTTCCGGTTTATCTTTTCTGTGGTATAATTACCATAGGGATGGACTGTAGACAAAAACACCAATAGTAGTTTATTTACGTTTCATGATGTGACCTGTTTAAGTTACTTAACAACTTGGAGTCTGTTTCACAATGTTGTCAAATACAGTCGTTGTTTAACAATCTCTTAATAAACTTTTAGTTTAAGTATCTTTATCTACCCTCATGTTTTAAACCAATAGAACTCGGAGACAGATAATGACACATCATTGAAGCAATATGACCCAAGAATTTTTGAAAAGGTTATGTAAAGTTCTGAGCTGTTAAAGATTAGTATCTTAAAACAGATTATTTGACTATTGTTTTAAAATAAGTTTAATAGCTCATTTGTCATAAAACGAGAGTATTCAATTTGAAAGTCCATAATCTCCGCCTACCGTTCTATTTTACGGGCTTGTGTATATTGTTTAAGAGAACTAAAAAGCAATTATTTTATAAGGATTAAGGATAAATAAAATAACTGACGATTGTAAAAAAAATATGTTTATCTAAAAATCAATAATCATGAAGTTTTAAATAAATTTAATTCATAAATAATAGGAAATATACAATTATTGACAGATATTGCTATAATACCATAGAACCCGTAGGTAAACAATTTATTACTTATCAATTATCAAAGATCAGTTCATTTTAACATAACATATAATTCAACATACTACATTTGTGTAGTAGTTACAATTCATTAGAAAAAGTGGGTAGTCTGGATCAAATCCAGGATAATGGATATGAAAAACATGTCTCAGTAATTATGAGTATTATTGTTATATCCACAATGATGGCTCATCACTTGCTACAATAAAAGTAGTTTAGAGATCAATTGTCCCAGATAACAATCAATGCTACACTTAATAAGCAGCCTTGAAGGTACAATTAAAAAATTTAAGAATGTAATTACCTATTACCTTGTCTTCAAATCTTCTTTTAGTTTATATATCAATAGTTCCATACAAACTGTGGCATCTTCAGCACTGTCATGACCATCAACAGAATTCTGAATAATTTTCTTAAGATGTTCAGATGATAGATTCTTTAAAGCTCTTTTATATGGTGGGCCCATTTTATGAGGAAATAAAACACTAGTATCTATTACTGTATCATGAATCAATTTAAGTGCTTTGAAATCAGATTCTAAACTGTGACCAATTAATATAGTTTTACTATTAAACATACTAAGAAGAGTAGCTTGAACCTCTAAAAGTGTGGTCGTCACACCCATCATTTGCTCCTCTGTAATACCAGAATACCTTGTATTATAGTCTATTATAGGATAAAAAGGTTTTACAAGTGTCTCATAAACAACTTTACAGGCCGAATTTATTACAGTTACCCTTGTCAAGTCTAAGCCATGTGTAGTGTAACACATTTCACAATCTAATGAAAAAACTCCATAATCATCACTTTCTGTTTCTGGTGGCATAGTTCTGATGTAACCTTTTAAATTTTCATAATCTACATATTCATATACATGGCAGGAAGCTATACAGCAGCCATCAGATGTGGCATCTTGACTGCAACACTGGTAACGAGCTTCACCTCTCACTCTATATTTGTTATTCGGATGATAAATACACTCTTCTTTAACCGCGGGAAAACCCTTTTTGTTTACTGTATAATCTTTCTTACATCTACAGCAGGTTCTTATATAACCTTTGGGAGGATTCTGCTTCTTCTGCCCATAGATAATTGCTCTACCTTTTTCACCAGTGCTGTGTGGTCTTGGAAAACCATTACTTTGCAACTGTTCCTCTGTTAAAACCCATTTTTGTATATTATTATACAGCTTTGCACCACTAAAGTGATTTTTATCAATCAGATTTGTCCTGTTTTTATTTTCTATGCTCCAAGATCCTGCACTACTTGTAGTACCAGACATTGGCCGCGGAATTTTCTGCAGAGCCGTACAATCAGAGCCTGATTTCTTAACACCATTGCATTCTTGCACTTCCTTTCTTAGCCTACTGACAGTAAGTACTGAAGAATTTTTGTATATTGGAATAGTTGAACATTTTTTACTAGTTGCTAACTCTTCATGTTGAGCTCTGGCATAGGCATCAGTTGCTGATAAATAAATTTTTAAACATTCATCTATCATCATATTTAAGTAAATAGATCTAATGTTTGCAGGTATTTTGGAGGCAAGAGGCTCTAATACACCAGGTCTGTCAATAAATTTTTCATTAGGCATGTGGGCAACTCTCTGAGTCCCCTTTTTAACTGTCTGTATGGAAGTAAAACTAGTTGATGGACTGCTTTTATTATTTTCTGGTGGGTGAGAAATCCCTTTCTTTGCATTAACTAATGTAGATGCATACGGCACATGAGCAATTCTTATTTTAGTGTTGCCACTACTTGGTGGAGTAAACACATTATTTTTTTGAATGTCTGGTGGTTTTTGAATAACTTCATTTTTATTAGATGGGGTTTTTGAAGCATGAAATTCTTTTATTTTCGCCATTCTGTCGGCCATTGCTTGTGCTGCATGTATCTTAAAATTAGGTTTTACTTGTGGCTTTGGAGTTACTTTTATATTTTTATCAATAGTTCTAGATATCCTTTTTTTACTTGGTATATATTCTTCTATCTCATTATCATCATCCTTGTTAACTGTTTCCTCTACTATTTTAGGTTTTTCTACAGGTACATATTCTTCAAAAATTTTCTTACATTCTAATGTGATTCTTTCTTCGTCTGATTCTGACATCTCCAGAAGCTCTTCATTGTTTTCATTTGAATCAAAGTTATTGTCCTCTGGCTCTTCTTTTTTTTCTTTATGTTTCTCTTTATGATGTTTTGAGCTTTTATGACTTTTCTGTTTGTGACTACTTTCCTTCTTTTTAGAATCCTCTTTGTGATATTTTGAATTTTTGGAATGATGTTCTGAACTCTTAGATGAACTACTTTTATGTTTTGAACTTTTTGACGAATGATTCTTATCAGTTTTATCTCTATCTTTACTCGAACTCTTGTGGCTTGATTTTCGTTCAGAATCTTTACTCGAGGAGATTTTACTCTTTGACTGCTTATCATGGTTTTTAGACTTTTCTTTGCTGTCTAATTTACTTTTATTAGATTTATTTCTATCTTTTTCAGATTTTTCATCCTTATTCTTGGTATCCTTCTTTACACTATTTTCTTTGTTATTTTTTGTTTTTGTAGAATTTCCTTCAGTATTACTTTTAGGATTATTTTCACATTTTTCTTCATCTAATATTTGGTCTAGTATATCAAACTCAGGGCCTAAGTCATCCAACCCATTCAAATCACTGGATAATTTTCTTTTCTTTTCATCGGGTTCAACTTCCTCATCACTAGAAAAACATGGAGCTAGAGATCTTGGTGTAGGTTGATATGTGACTTTTCCGACATCTGGTTTACTAGTAACTTTTGTAGGTTTATATTCCAATATTTTCTTTTTGTTAGTGCTTTTATCTGAAGGAATATAGCTTCGTTTGGTTGATGTTGAATTATCTTTAGGTGTATACTCTTGTAATTCTGTCTCTTTTCCTGGCAAATATGTTTCTTTTGATTCTACAGTACCTTTTGGAGTGTATGGGTCCAATTGTAAATTGTCTGTAGAACCAGGAGTATACGAGGTGGGCGGAGGTATATATATGAAAGGCTTAAATGAACCATTAACTTCAACTGGGCGCTTGATGGCCGTACTGGCCGGCTTCCTAGGAGTATAAGGTACTGGAATGTGCCTCTTTCTTTGTTCATTTACGTCTTCGTTGTTTTCTAAATCGACATTGTTAATTTTGTTCAACTCTGCTATCGGTGTTGGATTGTATGTGGCTTTACAAGGTGCAGATTGAACTACGTTCGCTTTTGATACTTCATTTGTTGTTGCCGTGCCGGTCGGAGATATAGCTCCTGAAGATTCCGTTTGTTGTAGCACCTTCTGTACGGCCGCGGACACCAGTTTTTGTAAAATTGTATCGCTTTCGATGCCATCGTTGTTTTGGGGTTCTTTCTTAACATGACGAAAATGACAGTAAGGTCGTTCACAAAGACCGCTATCAAAAAAAGGACAATTCAGGCCTTTAAAATAGCCGGTTGACGGAAGCATTAGAATATTATTAACATTCGATTATTTATAAAGAAACACTATGTTACTACCAAATAGCTAGACATTGCATACTCCTAAACTCTCATCAAGTTGATACAAGCTGATTATGTCAACGAAAACACAGATTATAATTCATGATAAAACTAAGAATAAAAATATTTAAAATGTCAAAATCATAGACAATTTTCTACACCGAAACAGTTCTTGTGCATTATTTCAAAAACTTGTAAAAACCTACAAATTTTCGTTTAAAATTCAATTTGAAAAAGGGATTATTTTATGTTTAATAAAATTAAAAGGATCAAACAATAAACCCTTCAATTTTTTGAAGTTAACTTAAAAAAGTAGAGTTGGATAAACCAAAGCTATACAATTTCGTTTTCTCGAATTCAACTTGAAAAAATTAGAATGTGAAAATATTTAAATTTCTTAATTTTATGTGTAATAATCACTGCCCCTATTTACTATAACTTCGTTGTAAGAGCAGCAACTACCAGCAACTGATTTGGAAATGCTAATGGTGTCATGGTTCATGTTGTAATAGTATAATTTCGTAAGTATGGTTGAAGTCTGCTTTGGTTTTGCTTTAAAACTGTACTTTTCTAACACAGTTATCTTCTAGGAATACTATGGAATTGTTAATTAAAGTTTATCGTCGACTTCCATCCTCTTTCCTAGAGTTGTCAAAAGTAGTGACAGATGTAGTTGATTATCTAGCAAGTTTTTTGGAATATTTGTTTCCAGATTTTGGCGCAATATAAAAATGTTGGAAAAGGTGGCTAAGGATTACTCATCGTACTTTAAACTAGATGTTGCCGATGGATTTCAAACAGTGCAAGATGTTATAGACAACATGATAACAAGACTGGAAGAATTAAATAGTGTTGTGCACATGATAAAGTTAAAAAATAGTGATTGTAACACAGCTGTAACAACAGATATTAATAAATACAGAGCAGAAATTACATTATTGTCTAAAAAAATTGTAACTTTAAATGAAGTGGTAATAACATTGCAGCATAACATGGATAAAATAGAAAAACAAGTTGAAAAGGCAGAATCACATTTTGGTGTAAATAATGATAGTAAACTGACAAGTCTACTACGGCCTTTTTTAAAAAGAAATCGTGAAACTCCATCTGTTTCTGATGAAATTCCCAATTTTGAAACACTTTCTATAACAAGTGTGATGCATAACTTTGAGGATAATGTATCCTGATATTATAATTTTATATCTTATATGTTAAGATAGTTTTGTTGGGTTTGTATGTATTAAATAAAAAAAATATTTTAAAGATGTTCCGAGTTTCATTTACTCAAGATTGATTTGTTACCTAAAATCAATTATTGTTCTCCTTACAAAACAGAAACTTCAAAAAAAATTTTTTTAGACTTATGTTATTAGTTATTAACCATTTTTAAAACTAAAGTTTTGACTCCTTCATCAGCAATACCCTTATTTTTAAAACATTTAAATTACTGCATTCCAGTTGAACCAAATCCTCGTTCTGACCTTGTTGTATCTGAAAGACTACTAACTTCCTCTATCACTGGGTGGAAGATTTGTTCACAGATCAATTGTGCAATTCTATCTCCTTTTTTAACATCAAAATCTTGATCAGAATGATTGAAGAGTACTACTCCAACATTACCACGATAATCTTCATCAATGACGCCGGCTGTAATAATAAATCCATTAAAAAAAATTAACCAGTCAATCAACAATTTTTCACCAAAATCAGCCTAAATTTTATTTTAAAATTTGAAAGAAAGCAAAGTTATAAAGCTTTACTATTGTAAAGATTAGGAGTCATGACCCAAGCATTTTGACATATTCAGTGCCACTTACGATTTAACATGTAAAAATGAATTCAGTGATACTGCATGTGTTCAGTGTCAGAGAAAGGTTTAAACATAGTAAAACAGAAAGGAGTTCTATTTAATTTATCACCAAATTCCATATTATTATTAAAAAAAAATTAAATAATATAAAAAGTGTAGTAATAGTGATTTATCAAGAACAAATTAAAGTATAAATTCTTACCGCCAACATCGATGAAATTTTTAACTGCCAAACCTGAACGTGGGGCTACACGTCCATAACATCCAGGTGGCAATTCTATCTGAAGATCAGTTTTAATTAATTCTTTACCACGGGCAGGTACCATGTAATCATATGCACTGAAAAGAATACATGTTATCAGGCACATAAAGTAAATTAAAACTTCGATACATAACTTAATAAATGAAAAAAAAAATTCGCCAATGTTATCAATAATATGGATGTTCTAATCTTTGTTCTCTTATGTATGCCAGTACAGAGAGACTAAATTGGGCTGGAGTAACAGTAAGGATATAATAGCGTCAGTTAGGGTTCACAATAACCAGTTTAACACACACAATAGCCTTCGCAATAGCCTTCACAATAGCCCTCTGATAAACTCAGATTTTGAGTGCTACTGCCATAATGTAAAATAGGCATTACTTCATTTTGAACCCCATTCATACAATTTAGATTAGTCTTAAAATGTATTTCAAAAACTACATAGTGAGGGGTAACTATGGACCATAATAAAAATAAAATTACACATTTACGAATTACGATTAAGAAGTAACGGTCGCTTTTTATTAGAAATGGAAATGCCTTTAGAGGAAAACTCTTATTTTTGATAGTAATTGACAACCCATGGTACTTTTAACATTGTTTTACCTTTTTAAATCGAACCCAGCAGCCTTTTCAGACCCTTTCACGGGCAGGAAAGCGTGTTCGGTGAGGCGAGTTACTTTTAAAGTTACTTCATTTGCACTCGGCATTTTATATATCGTACGTAGGAATTTAAAGACTGAGGACAAAATTATTACTGTAATTTAATTATGACAAAACTGCGAAAGGAGGTAGTTGAAATGACAAACTAAAACAGGCTGACTATGAACTATCGGTCAATGAATCTGAAAGAAAAATTGGCGCGAAGCGAAACGAAAACGATTTTTTTTTAAATTTTATGACCTGGTAACATAGACCTTTAGGTCATAAAACGAAAACGAACTCCGCTCGACAATAAAGAGTATGTAACCTCTCGGCTTGACATCGATACCAAAGAGTAATCAAGTCGAGTTGCAAGAGGAAAAAAGCACGATGTAAACGACCCTATAATAATCATCAATAGATATAAAAGCTACTTCGAATAAGACCATACTAATGATAGCTGCTAGCTGCGCCGCTCCTAGACCTAGCTTTTTAATATAGCTTAGCTTTTTATCAAGTCGTTTTATAGAATTTCTGGAAATATTTTTGGGACATCACTTGCGCATGCTATAATATATCTGAATCGTGCTGAATAACGTATAAATATATTTCTATACTCTTTAGCCGGAACTAAAGAAGTCTGTCGTACAGAACGCTAATGCTTTATTTGAGGTCTATAAGGCCTAATTCATTAGGTTGTCTTTACGTACACCACTGAGCATCATATATATATAGCACACACACGATAGTAGCGCCTCTCTCACCGGTTCAGTGGACCTAGCACTAAAAAATCCCTATCAGGCGCACACAAAAAATCTCATACTAATTTTTTTCATGAATGACGATGACGACGATTGCACAAATATTCGGGCTATACCAAGTTTACCACTTCTAATAACCTCCTTTATTTATTATCTATCAAAGTAAATAGAAGAACCAACAGCCTAAAGATCCAAAACTGTGGACTTCCGACTACGTGATCGTGGGTTCGAATTTCGCCATTTGGCTCTCATGTGTCGCGAACCATATCTTAGCAAAAGCCTGGAGCATATTTTTATAACAACCCACGGTAATTGAGACATAATATAAAACTTAAGTAAAGAATATCGAACTATTGTGTTACTTCACAGTTATTAAAATCGGTCAATAAAAAAAACATTTATAATTGCTTTTATTAAGCTTTATATATTATTTACGTATTATTTTTTTATATTTATGAAGCAAGCGCAAAATTTACTAAATATAATTATTTTATTGCTTTACCTGAAGGTTCGATTCCAAATATTAACATAATTAAGAAGGCGACCCGATAACATAAATATCATGAAATGTGAAAAAATAATATAACCAATTTAATAGCATAGAAATAATAAAAAATAAATAAACTGAATGCATTATAGAGATGAAGCATCTCAACAAAGCACTTTCCAGCTAAAATAACGAGTTTATCGATCTTTTTATTATAATTATACGATCAAGTTAAATGAACTGTTCAAGGTGAATTCGTTATTTAGATGTTATTTCGCAATTTAGATAAAAATTTAATATCATTAAATTTGCGCTCACTTCGTAATGAGCAACTTAATCGTTTCCATATAACCAAAATATGAGATTAGAATATTGACCTCTTATTCGATATACCTACAACCTAACACATGCCGGTGAAAAAGAAATAAGCAACCATGGTTATTAAAGGCAAAATTAACTAGCGTCAAATAATTGCCGTAAAATCTGAAGAATAAATATAATTATTCATCTTGATTTTTCTTCTTTTATAGCTGTCATGTCTAACATTGGTCAACACGGCTTCGGCTGCAACTTGGTGTTATTCCATCAACATCAAAAAATTGCTTACAACAAATTAAATTTAAAAATATTTATTTTCAAATTGATTATCCTACAATTTTAGAATAGTAGGATAGTAGTTATTTATTATACATTTATTATAATATCTTAATTAATTAATCTATTATTAATAAAAAAAATGCAATTGATTTTAAATTATTTTGAAACCTACACTTGAATTTGAAAAAAGCTTATTGGAATAAGAATAAGTAAAATCGACCTCTGTTCTATATGAATCATTTTACCTACTCTAGCCTTCGACCCAAATAACACAAAAAAATATCTACCTGCGCGTTAAGGGGTCTCACATTTGGGCACAATACGGACACACGGACAGTAAGCCGGTGAGGCACAGCGATTATCCTCCTTCCGAAAGCCGGCCTCAGTGAAAAATGTCCACAGACGGCGGGAGTCGCGTCGATCAATATTTTGTCAAGAGCCACACGGAAGTTCGCATCAAAACTCGGAACCGCTCAAATTTGAACCGAAGTGCGGGCGTTCGCGCGCCGCACGCACTACACATACGCTACGCCGCGGCGACTTACAATAAAAATCTTTACAAACTAAAAAAGTGTTTCGTGTGTTACTGTGATTCATTCGGGTGAGCCCCCTTGAAGGGGAGTTTGTCCATTTTTATATTTCCAACGTGTCCCTCGCGGCATGCGCGGCGCTTGTACGCCAGTCGCTCTACTACAGTTTCACGCACCAACACCACTGCAAGGAAAGTAATGTAAATATTACTCATACCATAATATTTACAAACGAATTGTTATTTTCAAAACGCGAAAGAGCCGTGCTTATGAATTGGATATTAAAGTGTGACGAAACTTGTGATGTTTAAGTGAGAATTTCTTAAAACAGTGATTGTGTACAGTTTATCTTCGATCCGAGTCGACTATGGTCGAGGACAAGCCGCTCGTACTCAATGTATTTCAGGAAGCGTTTCAGCAAACAACTTTTCGTTTACATAACTCACGCTAGAGGTCAGTATTGAGTAAAGTTAGTATTTTCATAAGTTTCATAAGTTAGTATTCTAAGCGGAATTTTTAATGTGCCTTATTGAATATATCTATATGTAGTTAGGGTTCAAGCACCGAAGCTCTTCCCTTTTGCATCCCTTCTCCGCCCTTTACGCATGATCGACCGACGGAGTTTAGGGGTTCACTGCGAATAGGGTGCGAGCGCTGTATATACGTAGATGTATATTTGTGTCTAAATAGTACTAGCGCTTCGTACTATTGTTATAGCTATGAATGAATCTTCGCTCATTATACATTGATGATTAGACATTATAAAGTGTTGTGCGATCACAATTTAATTAATTAATATTTTGACAATGAATTTTAGATAATTTTATAATTGACTCAAGGTAATACAACGTTTAATTTTTTTTTAATATTGTTATTTATTCATATTAATATGACGTATTTGTATTTACAAACTTGATAAAATTGGTTAAAAACTGTTTTAATTTTTTTTTTAATTTCAATGCTGTAAAACTTCTATGAGAATTATGTTAGAATTGATAAAAAAAATCATTAATAATTACAATGAAAGTACATGCTTATACATATAAACTTTGACTATGTAACATTCCATAAAAAAATGCAACGCGAAACGTATGCGTAAAAGCAAAATACATTAAAAGACTAGTGTAATAGTTTTTATAAAACACCAAAACTTGTTTTTCTAATCGTCAAAATTCAAATTAGACATTAATAAATAAACCTAACAACTACTAATGCTAAGCATAAAGCGGATGATGTGCAAATCAAAACAAAGGAGCAACCGATCACGCAGATTGATCTTATTACTTGGCATTTTTATTGATAAAGTGAAATGAGTGAGTGAGGCGTCTATGCAGATAGATGCCGTATAGGAGCAAGACGTAGCGAGCGACATCGGACATGTTTGTTTTCATACCGGTCCGAATTAACGTCGCGATTGGTTCAAAATCCATAACTGGCCTCCGAGAGCCAGGTGTCGTTCACACCGCGGCCTCGCGCGCCTCGTCTCGTTAATCACTCGTGTTCGCTATTGTTATAGCGCGTCGTACAGCCATCTTTGTCAAATTACGAGAGATTCATTTCAATAATTCGGTTCATGTTAACAAATGGAACAAAACGCAAATACTGTTACCGACGCGTCGTGCGGCCGAGTCGAGTACTTTACTACATTCTCTTTTGTTTTATCGTTGACGCTCCGCTGAATGGAAGCGTTACGACTTCAGCGTTAACGATCAGTCGACCATTAAAATGATGGATGATGTCGTTCCTTGCAAAAACTGTGTAAAGTGATCGTTTTAATAAATAATGTGAAGGGTGTTAGTGCTGTTTATGTTTGGGTGTGCATGTGATGAAAACTGCGTCGTAATTTGTTGTACACATTGCATAAATGAGTGGAATGGCGTTGTGGAGCGCGCGGGCCGGAGCATGCGCGCCAGTATCTTCGCGCTCACTCGAAACGCACTGAGTGTCCTTCGTTTATGTGCGTATCAAAATGGGAAGGTCCAGGTTCCCCGGGAAACCGCTAAAGTTCCAGAACAGAAAGCGTATTAGTGTTCTCTCGGGCACTGTTTACCATGAGACTACTCAAGAAAACCACCCAGCCGCCCGCAGCTCGGGCGGCAATGATTTTACTGGGGAGAAAGAGGTAAAACACGATGCCTAATTTTCAACATTTTGCAAGTAAATCACATAAAATTAACAAAATACACGCGGAAATATTATGTTTACGTAATAGTTCTAAGCGCAAACGAGGCGCCAAACGTATTGTGGCGTCCAGCAATGTAGGAATTTTGACATTTAGTTATCCATACGATTTATGATGTCAACAAAGGCAAACGTCGAGGAAATGTATACTTTCGTTAAATGATTATTTGCGAAGCTTATTTCTGAATTATTAAAACGACAGTCGTTTTTAAATACACTCTTTGATTTTCTAACCTAACTTTTGAGGCCAACAGTAGATGAATAAAATTTGCACCATAAATGCGCAATTGTACTTTGTGTTAAAAAGTGTTAATGTTAACTAACAATAAAATTGATGGTCAACATCAACTTATTCAAACAGTCATTTTGCATATTTTTACCAATCTAACTAATTCAATGTCATTTTATACTTAGTGACCTTAATATAATTATTGAAATAAGCAAGTCACATTGTAAAAATTAAATTATTAATTATTAAAATGTTTTACAATAAAATTCAACTTCAACTAATTCTTGTCAAATCATATATTAATAGATGGTTATAAACAATCAACTGGTTATCAAAGTAATGAGGTTGCCGTCATATGAATAGACACTAATTATAAATGAAATTTACATCTATATAGGAATTTATACTATAAACATTAAATTGAAATGTGCTATAATAATAACTTTTATATTACATTATTTTAGTAAAATTTCATAAAACTAT